GTGAAAATGGCGAAGAGCTTATCTTTCGGAGGCGACTCTTCCGAATACCCGCATTCGCTCGTGCCCCTCCAGAGGCGCGCTTCGGAGTTGCTGTCCTCCAAGAACAGCGCCGAGCTCAACGATTCGCACAAGAAGGTAACGAAGGAAAAAAGTCTTTGCGGCCGAGCGCCTTTAGACCTTTGAGCCGGTTAAATCTGTCTGTGGTCTTTCGCTGATCGGTCGGATATCGTCGCAGAAGCTGCTGTGGGCCGTGTCGGAGGCGCTGCGGACGCACGGCTGGCGCATGTCGTGCCCCGGCTTCCGCGAGAAGGCCTCGCAGTTGGCGCGCCTCACGCGCAGACTGCTCACGCTGCCGCCGCACGCGCACCGCCTGGCCGCGCCCGCGCTCTCCACCTCCGAGACCCTGCTCAAGTGAGTGCGACCCTCCGACCCCCTCCCGGCCCTTTCGGCCGAACCCCGCTCTATCGACCCCTCTTTGCAGACTCGCCCGCCGATACGCGTTCGCCGTCATCCGAGGCCGCACCGTCGAGGAGTGCTTCCGGGACGAGGAGACAAGGCTGGCCGACGAGGGGAAGGAGCTCGTCTCTCGGCTCGGCCGGACCGCGAACGCGGACTCCTACCCGACCGTCCTCGAGAGGTTCGCTCGTGGATCGAGCTCGACGCCTTCCTTCGAGGACGCCGCCCGAGCCCGAGCCAAGAGGCAGATCTCCTTCGACGGGGCGGACTTCGCCGACGCGTCGTAGCTTTTTACGAATAATTTCTAAGTTACACTTTGGTAATTTAGGTGAAAAGTCGACTGCTCGCGGGTGTGACGCGAAGCGCGAGGGGAAATTCAGACAACGTTCGTCGGAAACCAGTGCATAGACGTGGATTGTATCGATATAGGTAATAAATTATTTTCAAATATATGTTGGACTTTTATTGATCGGAGGGCAGGCAAAAGGCGTAGTCGATGTCCCAATCCTAATCTATAGCAATCGGTTCGATAAGATATCGCTAATTACCGGACAGTCGCCCCGCGTTCGTCACGATGGGTTCGTCTCCGACGAAGCAATTGTTGACTGAAGATCTTTTGGAAGATTATACGTCGCTCACTTATTTGACTAAGGGTGAAATATCGTCGCTGCGCGTGCAATACCGCGGAAGAGCACTTTGTAAAAACCGCGTATCTGCGTTTTTGCGATTTTACAGGAAGAAGAAAAAACTAAATATCTCAGTCATTTAACTACATTTTGCTGACTGAACTCTATCACTACTAGTTTGGGGCTTACTTTATGGAGTAATAGTGTAAATTTATTTGTAACTTCCGTAAATTCCGTGTAAAATCACTTACGCGGTTTTGTTGCAACAATTGATAGAAAAAGTAGTATAGTATCAGTAAGTACGCGGGTTTGAAATTTTTTTTTATTATTAGAAAACATTATTAATTGTGATAAAAAGCAAAAAATTTTCAGAAAAACAATATCTTTCTATTATTAATAATCAACATTATAAAGAAAACTTATTTTTTACAAAAAGTATAAGATGTGAGCTTCTTATAAAAAAAAAACTTCTAATCTGTAGAAAATTGATATTTTATTCATTAGTTGGACGAGGAATAGATTTTTATTTTCATAAGGAGTTCACATCTTTTACTTAGTAATACACAGAAAAAACTTTTTATAAACGTTTTAAAAGAAGTACAGGGAAACTATAATATTTTTTTTACTATTCTCTATCAACATTCATCTATACTTAACATTACGTAAATAAAAAAACTTTTTTATTGGTAAGTTTAAGATTTGAACTTCTAATCTCAAGAGAATTAACGAAGTTAGGTATTAAATTTTGTATTAAGTAAGACGTTGTGAGTTCATCTCTTTAACTTACCAAAAAAGTAGTTTTCTTAGAGATCAGTCTCCTAGGTTCCTCTAAAATCACAGAAAATATTTTAACGTAATCTTTGTTAAACGCTTTGTGCGAATACAGAATAAGTAAAATTAGCTTTTAATCATTGAATACTGTAGGTACAGTTACAACCCTACAAAATAGGAATTGTTTTCACAATCAACTAAATTATTCAAAAGTACTCATACTTATTGAGTATAATTTAGCAAACAAAAACATTAAATAGCAAATAAACATAACAAAACATAATAATTTTAATAATTTAAACTCTCATTTAAATAATTATAATTAAAGCATTGAGCCTCTCAATCACAATAAGAACATTATTTATAAGGTAAGTTATTATAAAAACTATGACAGTCTTTGGGTATGACACTCTTAAGCTCCTGTAAGTGATCATACTTGGTCTTGGATATTGGCTGTCTAGATTCATAAAGTGAAGGCACACTGTCAATCGGAACTATTTTCTTTGGCCGTCTTGGTAAAGGAATAAAATCATCTGCAAAGCGGAGCTTATAGTCTATTGTGCCACTTGGATTGTATCTGAGTGCTTTTATTTCAACGACACAGTGATCGCCCGCCCCACGACCAGGTCTTATTGAGTCATAAATCAAGCATTCTTTAAGACCGAAGTCTTTAAAAAATGTATAATCAGGTTTAATAACTTCGTAATGACTTGGTACTTTTCTCGCTTCCTTCGTGATCGTGGCGTATTGTGAGGGTAAAAAAATTTCCCGATTTTTCAGCTTTCTCTCAATCACCGAATGAACTGAATCTACTTCCATTTGAGTATGGCCCTTTTCTAGATATTTTTGAGTAATAACTATGTTCTTAGCCATAGCCAAACGCAACAATGCATTGGAGACAATGTTATTTCTGTTCTGCGCTGTACAACCATCTGTAAATATCACAACGTCCTTCGGATCATTATCCAGTAATTTGGTCAAATAATCCATAAAAAATGAAGCGTATGTAGTGGCTTTTAAATCGCATGCCGTCTCATCGAACCAGTAACAAGTGACTCCATTATTACCCAGATTGTAGACGGAAAAGTTATGGACAAGTTTTGTTTTAAAGTAAAGTGCACTCGCATTGAGGAAAGGACATAGTTTTACAGCTTGAAGATCTGCTGTTAATGCATGTATGGCACCTTTCTGTGCCGCTTCTTTGTCAGAAGTTTTTTCAGCTCTAGCTAAGTCTTTCCGTTCAATATGTTCAGTATACTGCTCATGCGATATATTACCTGCTTTGTAAGCGCAGCACTGGTCGCATGCATCTTTTTTAGGCTGAAACAACCCTATATTCTCTTCAAATAAAATACTTTCAAATACTTTTCTTGAAGCTACCCGTGGTTCATTTTCCGAAAATGAATAGTCTACATATAGACGATACAATTGCGCTTTTGATTGGATTATGGGTTCTAAATATAATTTTGAAGTAGATTGCCTACAATAATGGGACGGCAGTTTCGGTAATGCAGTTAAATATTTTCTAGCTAATTCTCTTTTGGGTTCTGTGACTGCTGTATCTCTTGGTTCAGATTCATTACTTTTGTTCTTTTTCTCCCCTAGCCAATACCTTACTGTCCATTCTTTTATACCCAAGGTTTCCAAAAATGGTTTTAAACAAACCCTTTCCTTTTTATCGTTAACTTTTAAATAGTAAATTTTGGTATCACTTCGTCTTGAGTTTGAGCTTTTAGTTTTTCTAGTTGTCGGTTTCAGATCCACCATTGAAGATACATACATTTTCTTTTCTTGCCAACTCATATTCCAAAAGTCTTTAAAAATGTTTGATCGAACTTCTTCTGTTAATTTTGAACAATACATAGCTTTACCACCGAAACATCGCGATGACATACATAGTGGACCCATTATTCTTGCTGGTTTTGGATCATTTTGTACATATTTATTACCATCTTTTTTGAATCCTCTATACTCCTTTCCCATCATTCTCTGTCGCTTATTTTTCGTTCTTTCCCAATTATTTGGATTCCTTTTGCACTTCCTTCTCTTTGATGTTTGTTCTATTTCCCTTTCGGGAAACCATTCCACATTTTCTGGTGATAATGGCTTTACATTCGTTATATCTGAGAGAGCAACGAAAGAAGGATCTGCAGCTGAATCATCAGATGAAAAGTCAAGGCCACCGTTATCTTGCTCTATTACATTAACGTTCACATTTATGGGAGTAATAATACTATCATCATCATTTTGTGTTAAAGCGGGATTTAAAACTGTTACAGTGGTAAGTGTAGTAAACTCGGATGTCAAATTTTGATTTTGACTTTCTGGATGTAATGACGCAGGGATGGGGACTGTTTGCGATTTTGGTTGATTTTGATAATTAAGCCTATTTAATATTTCTCTCTTCTTTTTGAGCAATATTTTACGCCGTTCACCCAGTTCTTTCAGAGTTACCACGTTACTGTTCAAGTCAGCATTTTCTAAAAAAAACTCGTCTGGATTTCGATCCTCCATTATTATGTGCTTACATGACACTTGAATGTATGTATCTAAAAATAAAAATTAAAAACCTGTAAATTTGTTTGTAATGCAATACCGCGTAAATTACCGACACAACTAAATAACGTAATGTCACCGCAACCGCGTAACTACGCGTCAATAAATTATTACAGAATTTGACGTAGCCTACAGCATTCAAGCATAAACACAAACATAAATATGTTTATAAATTAGTATATAAAGCTTATAAACAATCAAAAAGTACTTACATGGTCGTTATCCTAAGCAAAACTTATTTTTTCGGGAGCATGCGGTAATCGTGTCATAATTTCTTCACCGTTTGGGTAAATACGCGGACTTGCAGCCAACTTCAGGCATACTACTGTTCCGCTGTATTGCTACGATGCCAAAAAAGAGGTTTCCTATTGGCTAATTCAAATTGCGTGAGAGCTAGTTTAAGCCAATCCGCATCAAGGATCTATTGGCGCGATATCTCAATTTTGTTCCTTTTGCTGTTACGCGGTATTAACAAAGTGCTCTTCCGCGGTATTGCACGCGCAGCGACGATATATCAGTGAGTATTAATGGACGATTGCTGCGTGGAAAGTGTCCGGCGAGGTATAAGTGACCGACTTCTTTTTCAGCCTCATGAAAAAATTTCATTCGATCGATCCGGAGAAGGTAAACGCCAACTTTTCGCACAGATTCAGCCGCCAGGAAATTATTAACAAGTTTGAGGTTTTAAAAGTGAGTCGTTTTCTATATAATTATGGTCGGTAGGACCATTCCCCGACGCGCCTCATACACTTTCCGATTATTTCAGACCAACCCATTTCAAGATCGATTATTCCGGGTATTTTCTTCTGAAAATGACAACCGATTCTCCTTCGAAGATATCCTGGATCTCTGCTCCGCCATGAGCGCGGACTGTCCGTCGCACGTTAAGGCCGCTTGGGCGTTTAGGATTTTCGGTAGACTTTGTTTTGTAAACGACTCGCTCTGTTGTTTCTCGTGCCTGGCGTGACTCAGAATCCGTGTGCTTGCAGATATCGACGAAGACAATCAAATAAACGCAACCGACATATGCCAGATTGTGGACCGATTAACGCGATACTCCGATAATCGCAATGACTGTCTCGATCACGATTCTAAAATGAAAATTGCTAACATTGTAAGTAGAAAGTGACGCTTGCAGAAGGTAGAATAGATATTCTTTCAAGAAGGTGACGCGTCATCGTCGGTTTCCGTTTCAGATATTAGAAGAGATCAAGTTGGACTTCACCGGAGGCATCGGCCTTTCGGAATTTGTTTTTATTTTGTCGAGAATACCTGAATTCTCCAGTTCCCTCTATTTTAGAATATGAAATAAAGTTTAAATGATATGCTCAGTTTTTCATTCTATCTCACGAACGCTTTGCAAGCGGCCTTATTGAAACGGCCGGCGAGAGTGCGGTCGGGGAGGGCAGGGATTCCGCCGGTGCGACCCAAGTCTTGCGGCAGAACCGCGGGCTGCTTGTACTTCACGTGGAACATCGGGAACGACAGGTACACGCTGCAAACGGTGGAAAACGAAGTGAAATACGGCACCGGACATGTTAAAACCCGATTCGATATTATTGACGGCTTAAAAAGGTACTCACGGAGTCATTTCCGATGGACACTGGTACGAATACTCGGGATCCTTGAAGTACAACAGTGGGTGATGGGCTTTGGGATAACCTCGGTAATAATCCCTATGACGTTGGCACGCCTGTTTATCGGAGATTCAATAATCAAACTAACTTTAGCGACATAATTATAGTGTGTAGTGTATTTATTGTCAATTCTTGAGTTACATTCGAATACCTACTGCGAGTCGTTGTGTGTAGGTACATAACTTTTAAAGAGAAAAAAATCCGTAACAAGTTTAGCGTGACGAAGCGAAGTTTAGGAAGCAGCATCCCCAATTTGGTAATTTTTGTCCCTTTTTGCAACCTTTATAATTGATTGGCAAATCGCAACTATTGGTATTTAAATTGGTCTATGATTGAGAGAATTCCAAAAGTTCCAATTTTATTTATTTTTCGAGGGGCTAGTCCACAAACAAGTAAGATATTTGATCTTAGCTACTATTATTTTTAACATTAGGTCATCATACCTCATAAAACGTTTCAATTTCATCTTGTCTTCCGTTATCGACAAAGTAAATATCCATTTTAAATAGACTTGATGACTTCTTTTAAACCACCTAAAATTTTCAAAAATTATTATATCAGTTCTAACAACGGAAGTCCGTTTGACTCGGACGTCAGTCCATCGTCAGCGCCTTCTTTAGTTATTATTCGAAGGCCGGCACAGATATAACCTGCCTGTTGTCATTACTAATAGTCAAATAGCATTCTAAACAACACCTACCTATATTAAATATGTGATATTTAACATTATGAATTGTACCCTGTGATTTCACAAGGCGCGCGCTGCCATTATTATTAATGTAGCGATTAAACTTTATTGACTATTTATTTTACTGTTAATTTCGTTTCGTAAATTAAATAATGCGTAGACAAAAAGAAATGACGCAAAGGGCCCACGTATATTTTTAAGAGTGGGTTATTTGAGAAGATTTTAAAAACCATTTCAGATTATTCATTAGTGACTATGGAACTTATACAATTATATATTATTTAATCCTGATAAGTATTGGCGAAACATTTATAATTTCTAGAACCCGCCAAAGCACTTCTCTGGTGCGACGCCATATTGCATTATTAGGGCATTGTTTGTTTGTTTTGTCGTATGGCACTACTACTTAGTATGACAGTAAACAAAAGGCAAGGTTTTTACGTGTTAATTATAATTCATGAAATACACAAATATTATTTTTCCATAAAAATAGCCTATGACGAAATTAAACTCAAGATAATATTAGCATTAGACAGCCGACATAATATTTACTGGCATGGTACGTCATCTTGGATTCGACTCATTTGTGACTGTTTGTGTCACGTGACTCACGACTGACATTATTGAAATAAGTAAGTACATATTTTTCGTAGGTAGAGTATAGTACCAGAGTCCGTCTACGATATTTTTAAATTCATGCTTACAAGGTTATTTTTCTCCATTACATCTTTTTACAGGTATGTTTTATACGGAGATCTCTTAATAACACTAAATGGGAAAATACTAATGAAAGACATGATCAAATTGGTAAAAACAATAACTTTTGTGTAATGCTTGCTCTCGACAGCCGTAAATTTCGTATGTTCTAAAATAACTGCACCAGCTACGGGTACTATCAATGTCAAACAGTAAAATAATATGTACAATCTGTTTTTTGTTTATATTTTTCAAAAAGAAAATAAATAAATTATCTAACAAAAGCCTTACAGGGGGATTTATTAAAACGACCGGCGATAGAACGATCAGGAAGTTGCGGAAAACCAGAAGTCCTTCCAGTTGTTGGCGGTAAAATAGCAGGTTGTTTGTACTTTACATGATAAGCCGGAAAACTCAGATAAGACCTGTCAATAAGAATAAAAATTCATTTTAGGTAGTGACTCTTTGTTCGCAAGACGTTTCAATAAGATAGATTAACAGCTATATCTACATCTTTTAGTATAAAATAGTTGGACTTACTCCGACATTTCAGAGGGACATTGGAATGCGTATTGTGGCTCTCTGAAGTACGTTAATGGATGATGACTTTTAGGATAACCCTTGTAGTACTCTCGATGCATTTGACAAGCCTGAATGTAAAAACCCTATACATTGAAGACGTTAAATAATAGGGCAAAAAAGCATGATCTCAGATCTGCTAATATTTTTTTATTAGGCTTTTTATAAAGCCTTTACACTAGTAAAAATCGGTTTATGCAGTAGTAAAAGTAAACTATCTCTAATAACTACACTTGTTTATATATTCTCACATGAAAAAACTTTTCAATTTCCTCTTGCCTTAAAACGTCCATAAATGCAATATATTTGACCATTTTGTAGGGTTTGTAGATAACGTTACTAAAAAGTTTAATAATTAGCCATCCGCTTGCTTCTACTTTAGCAAAAGTACGAAGTGCATTTTAAAGAAACATCGAATATATAACCATCCACTTAAAATAGTCGTGAACAAGAAAGCTATGCCATCATTTTTATTAATTTCGATTTTTGAATGCATTTATTATAGAGCAGGGCTGCCAGTCGCGTCAAAGAGTTATATATATTATGAGTTTCGTGTACTGGTACTCTGTACCGCCCTCTATTGAAAATTATACAAAATCAAATCTCATCAATCATCATATACCCACCTCAGAGAAAAATCAATAAAATGATTACGAATTTATCTGTAGAAAATAAAAGAAAAAAGAAGCAATAAAATGTTTTGAAGTAAAACTTCTTTAGGCGCGACTAGGGAGTAACTCGGATTTTTTTTCTGACGGAAGTAACGCTTAAACGTAGTTTCCGCTATTTAAAATAATACGATAGCGCGTTTTATAAGTCCGTCAGCGCCATCTAGTGGTGCATTATTTGAACTGATTTAAGTCAGTTTCTTGGTTTAGGATAGCATTCATTCGTTTTATTTGATACTGATTCTTGTAATTATGTTATTATTAGTATATTTATATTTAAAATGAAAACCCATACTAGCAACATGTAACCAAATTAAAATTCCACTAAAGAGGGAAGGTTCCCATCCTAGCTTGCTTTTCTTTTGTTATACGTCATAGTAGTAGGCCAGTTCTTTCGCTTAATTTCGTATTTTTAAGTAAATTAATACCAAATTATTATCTTAAAAATCGGGTCTATTTTATATAAAAATAACCAATTTTTATAAAAAAATCTTATACAATAAGAGAATAGAAAAGTGAATAAAAAAAAATCAACAGTTTTAAAAAAATTGTTTTAAATTGCAAAGTTTTTTGAAAATTTAATTATATACTTATTGATTAATTACTTTTAAAATAAGTAAATAATTTTTCTGAGGATTGCGACATTCTATAATATTTATTAACAAGGTTATATTGACATGTGCTGATCAAACCTTCGTATTTGAATAATCTTTGTCAAGCATATAAATAATAAATATAATTAAATTATAATATGATATTTATTATTTAAGTTAATATTCAATCAGTGATATATGCCGTCAACGCCAAAGAAGTTTTACTTCAATCGCGCGTAAAGTTTACACGCACACACTTTTTTTTTAAGTTTTGATTTATATTGAAGACAATATTTTTTAACAAGAATTAAAAAAAAAATTATAATATTTCATATACGTATTCAAGGATAACAGCTTCGATATGTACACAAGCGTTTTTTATTAACAATAAATCAATGGAACTATAGGTCTACCAGGATCTGATGGCAAAAAGGGAAAAAAGAAATTGGCGCTAGCAATACTGGGGAAATTGGAGTAAAACGTTTTTATACTTTTTTTTCCTTATAGCGACTGCTTCTGGGTATGATACATGCAAATATAAAAATTTATCTAATGATCAAGGATAATTTTTGAAAATCTACAGGCACTATAAGTCAGCAGATTGGGGCGGGATGCGGTGTTTCTTTGCGTCCTACCCTTGGGGGCCTATGTGCTTTTCGTCGGAAGCGAAAATTAAGATGCGAAAACCAATTGTATCGTATTGCCCTCGATCATAACCTCTAAAAGATTTCAACGCTCGTTTTAGTTGTCATAACACTGCTAACCAGCATCTGACCCAATCTTGTTATCATTAAGTTGACCTTCTTTAGTCATAGTACGAGACAAAACAGAAAGCTAGTCCAACTATGTAAAAAGTACATACTTTATACATAATTTTGTTTTTTGTATAAAAAAATTATAAGTAACCCATAAAAGTCCCCTTAAATAAATGTACCCTCTAAAAACCTCCCAGGACAAATTGATACCCCCTAAATTTGAGGAAAAAGGGCTGGCATCACTTGACTCACGACTGTCAGCTGTTTTCGGATGTCAGTCACATCTCACATTCAACAGTATTCCAATTTCCAACCCAATACTCAATTTGTAAAACTATCGCTGTCGCCTGTCACTCTGAAGTCTGAGTCAACATCATTTGTCGTGGAATGCAAATCTAAACAAGTTAATCCATTTTTCTATTAACAAATAAATATACTTTCACTAGCAAATTTTTATCTCTTTTAAGAAGCATCAAATTTCTTATAATAATCCTGTACTAAGTTTTGTGATACGTTCATAAAATAAAATGTATTTAAATTAGTTCATAGCGCTGTTATTTTGGGTGTACTATTTTTGTCTGCTCCACATATTACATACGGTGCAAATGCATTTAATTAAGTTTCTTGGATAAGCATGAGATTAGCATTGGAGGTGACTGCATTAATCGTGATAAAAATTAACGTTTAGATATAGCGGAAACAGTCATGGGAATAATATTTAAATAGGTTATATCATTGTTTTCTCTAAAAGATAAGTAGGTGGTTAGCCTTCTGTGCCTGATACACGCAGGCAAGCCAGTCACTATGTTTAAATTCAGCAAGAGTTAAATGCATAGTTGAAGTTCATGAAATGAGTCGCAGAATATTACACTTTGATAAGGATCATTAGGTCTGCTATAATAATAGTATTGTTTTTCTTATCAGTATTGTTTAGATATTGCTTGTCTTTTACCATCTTTATAAAATTTAAAAGAATGAAAAAAATTTGTTTGTATTTAATTTCTGAAAAGTTTGTAATCTGATCAATTTCTAAAATACTTATTTTTGTTACTTTAGTTATTTATGTATAGATAACATTAAAAGGTATCCTAGCAACACACTTCAAGTAATAATTTAACATAATTTCAGGTTGCTACCCTCAGGGCATTGTAATGGTGATAATGTCGTGTATGGGTGATGTGGCTTTACATGATCGTGTGCCAGCCCTATGGCAGCGAATTGAAGATGCACATTATAGTTACCTAGAAATAGACGATAGTCCTGAAAAGCTGCAGCAAAAGAAAAAATTACAAGGTAAATATTTATCAGTACAAAGTTGTTTGTTGTAGATTAGTAATAGCAATCATGTGTCTACCCAATTGGGCAATGGCTTGTCTTCCATGTGTCACCAACAAAGAGAAGTTTATGTAATATTGTCTTTGTTAAACCTTGGGATAGTTTTACAATTTTAAATGAACATCTGTAATTTACTTTTATTTAGCTCTAATCAATTTCAACATTCAAATTTCATTGATCAAAGGATTCATGTGATCTCTTTAAGTAGACCTAACACAGCCTGGGTAGGTTAGAATGTTTAGCTACTTCCTAAACCTTAATTCATTTCAATGCAAATGTGTCGCTCTAAGATGTCGTCTGTGCTAATGGCGTTTCCATGGAGTGTCACCATGCACTGGGGGCAATAACCAGACAAACAGGGTTACCCTACAGTGGATAAAAGGAGACAGTGGATATCTCGGCAATGATGCTGCCGACGAACTTGCGAAGATAACCCATTCCTTCCCTTGCCCTTCTCGTAAGTGCGAACCTAGATTTGCCAAAGTTCCACAGAACATCAAAATTACCATTAGTCGCAAAACACGGATTGCAGACAGTCCAAAATTGCACTGCGACTTCTAAGAATCAATCACTTTGTCCTTGGCGCGACAGACCGTCCACTGGGCTGAGGCTGTTTCAGCGCAGAGGGATCAGTCACCCACGCAGTCCTGGAATGCGCGGCTGTGGAGAGTTTAAGTTGCCTCTCAATTTATTATTATTACAGTCAATAAATATTTTAGGTTACATCACGGAATACCTGTCTCTAGTTCCAAATGAGTATAAATTTGGTCTGCAAGAGACGAGCAAAGTGTTTCAAAGGACGGTCAACGAGTTACCTGACTATAGTGCGTACAGAGCCGGCATCGGTTGGGCGGCGATGGCTCGATACGCGGCTAATCTATTGGCCCAGCCCTGGAGGAAGGAGTATAAAGTTGTTAGGGTGAGTCCACATTATGAAATCACAAAATTGAAACGGGACTTAAAAAAAATATATATGAAATCATTCTTTCGAAATCGTCAGTTAAAGTAATTTTCAGTTATATTGCGGGTTCTACAAGCACGAGGTCGAGGCCAACCTCGTGGGCGGCGAGAGCTTGCTGCAAGCGATGGGGTACCGGGCCCTCGGCGGAGGCCGCCTGGCTTTGGACGGGCCCGTGTGCCCCGACATGGCCGCGGCCGTCTCCCGGGACGCGCTCATCGCCCAGTGCGAGAGTCAGGTCGGTGCTTCGAACGCATTAAAGTCGAATATACAGTGTAAGCTCTTTATAACGTCATTTGTTATAACGAAAAACTCTATAACTTACATATGAGTTAAAATTGTTTGGTTTAACACAAAACCGATACATTAATTCTTCCCTGCCTATAACGAAGACCCTCTATAGCGAATAAAAATGCTCGCTCCGTTGAAATTCGTTATAAAGAGTTTCCACTGTATATAGTACGATGATTTGTGCAAATAAGCACTCAAAACTCAAAATAAAAATAAAATAAATTAATGTGTATGAATTACACATTACACAGATAATGGCGTCGATCTGGGAAGGCGTCTGGAGCGGCGGCGGCCGCGTGTCGTGGGCCGCGGTGGCCGCCGAGAGGCTCGCGCCCTCCCGATGCCTGTTCGGCGACGAGGGCGTCTACTCCAACATGCCCGCGCCTTCCGCACCTCGCCGCCGCCCGCCCTGCCGCTGCCCCGACGTAGCGCCCTTCGTTTATTCACCCTGCGAGATGCCCGCGGTGCCCTACGCGGGGCCCTACTACTTGCCCCTACGGCCGTCCTACGCGGTTCCCCCGCCCCTCTACGCCCCCGCGAATCCGGCCCCGAACGACTCCGTCGACGGGTCGATTCCCCGACGCCCGTGCCCGGTCGTCCCGACGGCGCGGTTGATCGAATACGACTCGGAGAGAGACGAAAGGCGGAATCGCAGAGCCGACGGCCCGTCGAGGTCGGACTCGCGGCCGGCGCTGAAGGCCAGAGAAGACGGCACGGGGACATACGAGAGCTGGGATTACGTGTTCAGAAACTTGTCGAGCAAGGACAGAGACGGAGACGGCGGGAGCGGCTTCTCGCAGTCGTCGGACAGAGACTCGCGGACGCTCGACAGGCTCGAGAGGGACGAGCGGAGGAAGTATCGGCCCACGACGATGGACTTGGAGGACGGCCTTCGAGCCTTGGACCTCGACAGATCGCACGACGAAGAAGCGTCCCGCACCGCCAAAGTCAACGAGAGTCTGATGAGGCTAAAGCGGGAGCAGGAGTCGAAGCGAGTCAAGAGGAGACCGGAAGAGAGGACACCGGAAGAGAGGAGACCGGAAGTGAGGAAACCGGAAGAGAGGAGACCGAAGAAGACGGAATCTTTGGGAAATCCTTGCGCCGACGGGCTCGTCACGCCGAAAGTGGCTCCGGATAAAGTGAAGTTGCTGAGCAAGAGAGAGATAAAAGATAGGAAGGAAGTGATGAAGCTGACGGTCAACGGTCAGCTGTCCAACGTCGAGGTAAAGAAGCTCAAGAGACCGGTCAAGTCGGCGGCGGCCGAAGTGGAGAAGACCAGGAAACCCTCGGAAAACGGAGTGCACGAGGCTTACGGTCCAACGAGCGTTGCGAGTGAGTAGCTTTAGCCTCAGCGATTAACCCGACCACACGACAACAGCCAACGACATTTACGTCGTCTCCCTTTTAGCGAAACCAGTTTCATCCGTCTCTTTTCTCCATAAAGATCGTTTGACGGAAAGAGACTCAGTTCCTAAGTCGCGGGCATTAGCAGTACATTGATACGATGTGTTTTTCAGGCTCCAGCCAGCCCTCGGGCCTCGAGGCGCAGCTCGTGGTGCCCTCGGAGGACGGTCGAGCCGAGAGATGGCAGTGCGGCACGTGCACTTACCTGAACGCGAGCGGTCTGCAGGCCTGCGACATGTGCGGCAAGTCCAAGAGAGGGCCCCGGATCCAGCCCTTGACCTCCGGAGGCCGAGAGTGTCCCGCGTGCACTCTGGTCAACAAACGGGACGCCAAGCTGTGCGACGCGTGCGGGACCGGCTTGGATCGTTGCCCCACTTATATTTAACTGTTTCTTTTTCTCACATGTTTTTTAGCTTCGTCGTGATTTATGTTATCGGCTCGACCAAACGACGGAACCTATTTTTGAAACGGCACGACGCTCCAAAAGATTCCCTAGGCTATATATTTCTTTTTAGTCTCTGTCCGCGTAAGGTCTACTTTTTTCAAAGACGGATTGTGGACGTTTTGGGGTGAGGATGATTCCTTTGAGACTCTCTTGAAGCAGACTTGTCTAACTTCTTCATAATTTTTTGATTTCAACTTTTATTGAAACGAGTCGGAAGTCGCAGTTCGCGCCGTGTCTCGGCTCCTACTTCGACCTTACTATATTTGTACACCATTCTGAGGTGAAATATTTATTCCATGACGATTGTTATTTTATAAAGATGCATTTCTACCATTTGTTAGCGTGTTTAATAGATATAACTTTAAGGGGCGACACTTTTTGCACTATTAGGTGATGTTATCCATCGCGAAGGCTATCGAGGAACGGTTTAGAAATCATCTTCCAAAACTTTTGTTTCTTTCTTAAATTCCAAACGCTGTTGAACTGTACCGGAAGAAAACATTTTTATTCCGAAGATGAAGAGCGTCTTGTGACCTTTTCACGCTCACATCCAGGTCGATGTTTTCTTAACCGGACCCCTTCATCTGGTTGCTGTCGTAATATATTGGTTCACCAGCTGAGTTTTTGGTTTAGAATTGTTTTGCTATTTCAACATTAGATCGTGGCTTTAAATTTTATAAAAATTTATTTATAGTGACAGCCCTTTGTTATTTAATGTGATTATTGTTATTTATTGTATAATTATTTTAATTTTGACTCGCTTGTAACAGGGTAATGATTGGAATAGGTTGACGTGTTTCCTCTCGAGCGCAATGACGAATCATTATTAATGGATATTATTGTGGAGCGAGTGGGGGAGCCAATATCGAAAAGATCATCTAGTCGGGGCACCTACTCGGGAATAACTTATTTGTAGAAACCGTTAATTTGGAAAAATAATTTCCATGAATCGTCAATGCCTCAATTTAAAGAAGATTAGTATTTGAAAATAATGTTAATAGTGTTCGTTTTACGCCTTCTAAAATGCTTTAACATTAGAATAGTTTTGCCTTTTGATTTAAACATAATATTGATCTGTAAATAACACTAGTGTACATAGTAGAGATTAAATTATTAATATATTTATTATATACAACTTGAATTTTGTTTTTCTTATTCCCTTACAAATGGCAGCTTTGAGATTATTAACACTTCTCGAAGCAAGTGATGAAACACAAATATGTACATTTGCTTGCTATTCTTCTTGCTTAGAAATAGTTAATACTATTTTAATAAACATGTGTAAGACAGTGATATATGCTACCTTGAGCATAAGATTAAGGAAAATATGCTCTGAGACGTAATCATTGCGCATATTTTCCATCAGGGGCAATTTTATCGTATACTTATCTACTTTAATTGTTAGGACACTGCTGTACTTGATTAGCCTAAAGGTCATAATAGATAATTATGCTTATTGTTATTTTAATGCAAATAAAGAGTAGTAGATAAGGTAGACGAATATATTTATGCTCTCATCCATTAGTCCACACGGTAGTGGTTAGCCCGTACGACTGTAGATCTAGATTATGAGTTTCAGACCCATCGTGAAGCCAAGAGTAATATGACAGTCGATGCGATTTTCTAAGAGACTTAAAAAAAAATCATTGGTTGCCCTAAGTGAGGAAGTGGGAAGGTGGGGATGGCTTAACCTGATTTTTTTTGTCAATTGTGGAATAGAGTGCTCTTATGCCCCCGTGTACTATGTCGTCTGACACATTAATGTCGAACAAGTTTGTATGGGAATAACATTAGCTTCGTCACGTGACGATTTCTATAAAGAATGTTTGTCTTGTCGTAAACAGACTTTGTCTCAGGCCCAAGGTTTTACTAGAATTTTTCGCCTTTTAGTTGTAAAATGTAAATTAAAGTAATCCATAAATTAGAAAATTTATTTTAATTAAATTTCATTAAATTACATCACGTCAAATTTAATAGTGACTACCGTATCCACCGCCGTGTCCACCCCCGACGCCATGCCCTGCGCCACCTCCGAAGCCTCCTTGATGTCCAGTTGCTTCGTGTCCACCACCGAATCCACCTTGATGACCACCAAGGCCACCGTGGCTGCCTTCAGATCCTCCACCTTGACCAGAGTTTTTTACAACCACATTAGGCGGAAACCGCATGGTAAAATATATGCCAAAGTTAGGTGTAGTTAAATTAGAATGTTTAAATACCTCCTTGATGACCTCCACCAAATCCGGAATCGTGTCCACTAAAACTTCCATGACTGCCTCCTCCTAAGCCTTGGTTACCCCCGTGGCCGCCCCCGTGGCCGCCCCCTTGACCTCCAGCAAACCCAGAGTCACCGAGTCCACCGTGGCCCTGACTACCGTGACCACCGCCGCCGTAGCCTTAAAAGGAATCTCGCCGTAAAAACTTATACATCGTCTATATGTATAATTAGTCGTTTTATTTGTATTAAATTCAGAAAATAAAAATAATTTCCATGGCAATCGATTACTCGTTTTAAAATCATGTTTAGATTATGATAACTATTATAATGTAATGTGGGAGCAAACCACCGTCCACGTGATAACAACATATTTTATTTACATGGCTTTACATTTCGAGGATCTTTATGCTATATATTCGTCGTACAGGGGAACAGCTTCCTGTATTAATTATTTCAACCTTGATACTACGCGTTGCGTGTTTTCTTCAGTAAAGTAAGTGCGCGCTCCTATCAAATCATTGGTGGATGAGTGGCGGTCAGTTTATTTATTTATTTTCTTTCTGTTATATGTTTCATATACTACTCGTATATGTAAGTGGCAAGTCTTACCTGGACGTGCAGCTACAACGGCAACGAAAGCAAGAACAAGGATCTGTAAAATAAATTGTGCGTGTACTAGGTGTACACACGTAAGAAGTGAAACTTCTTTATGATCTTATTTTTCGAAAAATGATCTACTATATGCAACTTTACAGAAATTCGTTAAATTAGATAAAGTTTAACAAAAGGCTTTTATTATCATAGACATGAATACAAATATTTCATTTTACCTTATTACTACGAAGATTATTATAGAATTTCATTAATTGTAATAGAATTATTACTATCATTGAAAAACGTGACGATTTGCTACAAAATTTCTCCCATACGTCGATAAAGAAGTTTCATTCCAACGCCGATAAAGAAGTTTGACTTAAAAAAGCAACATGGCGCGTAACCGAAAAATGTGACGCGTAACGAAAAAATGTTACACTAAATTTTTTTCCAACATCGATAAAGAAGTTTCACTTCAAAAATAAAAACGATGGGACCTTTCAATCGTTGGAGGTTAACGTATTGCACGGTAGCCTCTACAAGCAGCACAATAGGTATTGTAGACACTGTTGTCTACTGTGCGCCCTGACATAGTCGCGGTGAATACTAACAAGTGGCACAGTTTGTGGGGTTGTAGGGGTTAAGCCTGAGAAAAATCGGTCGAACGAAGACGTTTCTTACAAATGCAGTCTTAACGATGAGAGATTTAGAGGACTCTTAATTCAATTTTAGAACTCGTTAATGCTTACAAAAAGTCGGAGTTTAAGTATATATATAGAGTTTTATAGTAAGTATATAAAAAACAAGACCGCCGAGTCTATCTGTCTGTCTGTTCGTGATAAACATAAAAACTAGTGCACGGAATTTAATGCCGTTTTCACCAATTCATGAGGATGGTTGCCCGTGCATCATATATGCACGCGTTGTTCTTGAACATTATTTTGTTCTGAAGTTATTTGAAATCAACGATCTCTTAAGATTTTCAATAAAATCATGTAAGGGGAAATTTTGCTAAGATTTTAATATTTGGTATTTATTTGTATGAATGAATATCAGGTAAAAACAAATAATACACAGTTTGAGAACAAATTTAATTACCATAAAAAGGTTAAAGGATAGACATAATATATTATGCCATACCCACATGTTTTTTGCACACCCGCACAAACTACACAGCTGACGCTCTCGAAGAGCAATGATTCGGGTAAAAGCGTGATGCTATATATTCTATAATCTTAGTAGTCTTTTATTGACATAACCTTTACACATTTAAAGAAAAAACTTTTTAACCGGATTAAAGTTATGTATTATTATAAATTTACAATTATTTAACATAATTTCAAATTTATCCGACGTTTCGCTTGCTTTTTTTTTTTATGGCTCTGGCACGATTTGTGCATTAGCCAGCGTCAAGTATAGGACTTTTTATAATTCGTGCTTGTCTTTTAGAAATTCGACAGTGCCCTTTATGTACGGTTTAAGCACTCGCCCGGTACCGCACAACCCTCCCAAAGGCCGAGAACAAATTTAAATTAAATTAAAACTTGCCCTCGAACCGCGAATCGAACCCGGTACCCCTCACCTAGCTGCCACTAAATAAGACCGCTAGGCTATGAGGCCCCCATTTCGCTTGCTTTACAGCGTGCGTGGTCACGGTGACTGAAGACAAAAGGTGTTGGATGTCAAAAAGTATCACAGCTGTAGAGAAAGTTGCATTATCTGTATTTATTTCCCCGGAGTTGGTATCGACTAAAAGATGGAGTGTTTTGGCAAAAACTATTATAATTGTAAATTTATAATAATACATAACTTTAATCCGGTTAAAAGTTTTTTCTATAGTCTTCCTTCATAAAAGGATAAAATTCAAATCAGTATAATATAAACTTTTTTGCTTTATAATATTATAGTATAGATTTGACGTAACTTAAATGTCTTACCAGAACTTTTCCCATCGTGTTTATTGTGGAAGTATACTTGCGTAGTCCTACGATTTACAGAACGTACTACGCTAAGGAAGCTGTGCACATCTTATATATAACCCTATGATCGACGAGTGCTTCGACCCTTACTGTCTTATCTAACCTTTTTATAAAAAAAGTATTTTGCGACTTTGTCGAATCATTGGCGTGGTTTTGTTTGTCTACCACTCAAACTTAGTAGATTAGCGGCAATTATCGCTATTTATACCATGGTATTTATTATTGCTTTTAGGATTATACAAATTCAACGAACAATTGAGATTCTTATGTTTTTTTTTCGTTCGTCGTTTTGAAAGATGAGGTTTACAATTCGACGTAGGTACATTCACGTCTTTTGTGTATCGCCAGATAGATACGATATATTTTGGCCGATTTTGATTATATTAAATACATACACAAAATCCCACACGACCTTCATGCTCCTTGTACAGTAAGTAATTAATCTACACGCGTAAATAATAAATATAAATATTTAAATTCTGTTTAAAATTAAACAGCAAATCAAATAAGAATGGAATCATTATATAGGTAGTCTGGTAAACATTATAACTTGTTTAGTATAGAACGTTTCGCCACAAGGATTTATTGACGACGACGTATTAGACAATGAATTATTAAAGGAGGTGAATTTTAGAATAAAAACGAAATTAAATTTAACTTTTATTCAAACATTTTAATGCGATTTAATAGTGACCGTGTGGACCGAATTGACCGTGACCGCCATGGACGTTGCCGTGTCCCTGTCCTTTCTCATGATTCGATGATCCACCATGAGCACTTCCATGACCGACGCCGTGTTCGAATCCTTGGTCGTGACCTCCTGATCCACCATGGACACCTCCGTGGCCACCACCGTGCTCCGATGCTTGTTCATGACTCCATGATCCACCATGCTCGCTTCCATGACCAACGCCGTGTTCATAGACTTGGTCGTGACCTTCTGATCCACCGTGGACACCTCCGTGGACACCGTGGACACCACCGTGCTCCAGTCCTTGCTCATGGTTCCATGCACCACCTTGAGCGCTTCCATGACCTACGTCGTGTCCTTGGTCATGACCTCCTGACCCACCGTGTACCTCGTGACCTTCGTGGCGGCTGCCGTAGCCATATGCTGTAAATTTGAACATGTTAGTTTTTAGTATTATAATAAATAATATACTAAATTAAATAATTAGGGTGATAACTAAATCGCTAATCATACCTGAACCGGCGGCAGCAACCGCGATTAAACTTAAGGTGACAATCTGCAAAATTGAGTTATTCCATCAATAAGATAATACAAAACAAACAGGTCTTAAAGAAATATATACAAAAGTACTTACTACCAATTTAACCATTTTCGCTGAGGATTCTGTATCTGAATGTTTGTATTTGTCGGTTCCTTCTTATTTATACAGAAAGAGCGTCTTGTTCTTCTTTTTCTTGTTTAGGAGGTTGCTGTTAGATATTAAAATAATATCATTTTGTGTTTAACCATCATTCGCCATTTTTCACTTCGCACGAAACATCTGGGTGTAGTCAGCACAGTTATCGACAAACAAAATAATATGCTCAAGATAACTCAACTCAACTGTTCCTTTTAGAAGTGGGTAACCAATACCGATCATACAAAATAAATATTAATATAGGAATTAAAAGTAATTTATATAGGAATTATTAATAATAATCAATCATGATTTAAAATATAAATAATTTAAACTGTGTCTCGTTCATAAAAAAAACATATAGTAGGAATGTTTGTTTTTATAAATATGTTGTATTAAAAAATAGTTTTACGGCAGCATAAGAAAAGCATAGGATGAGACATAAGTTAATGATTATTCAGGTTATGCAAATTCTATAAACAAAATATTAAGGGAAACTGGTTTATTTGGGACGTTGCTACCTAAACAACATTTGAACTAAACTATTCTTATTGGAAACAATAAAACATAGTCCACAATCAACATAAATGTATTGGAATATTAAAATTAAGTGGGTTTTTTCCATGTCTTCTATTACTTCTCAAAAAAACCAAAAAATTTAAATGGTTGTCAGTAACACTAAGCAGTTAACTTCCATCCACCTCTCAATAATTGTTTTGTTAGTTTTATAAGTATTATTTTATGTTTTACGTTTCTACCTTAACTAGCTATGTTAGCTATCGACACCAATTTATATATATTAATGTTTATATCATATTGTACGTAACGATACATTAGTATTTAAAAAAAATTAATATACCTATGTCTAAGCATATCATAACTTTACCAAATGCCTATATTAGATAAAATTCCAAGAATACAAATTAAAATTTATGTGAATTACGTAAATATGTACCTACGTGTTGTCCTGTTCATGATTTGCTTTTTTTTTATTTTAGCTATCGTAATGTGATACGTGTTACTGTAATATTATATTAAAAGGATAGGTAAAGTTTTGACTTTTGTGGCCTAATACCAGCATTCCACCCGATAACATACGAAAGTGAAAATAAAGTAAAAGAATTTTTGAGGTAAAACCCCAACTTGGCTACGTAGTCCGTTTTTATTATGATATTCAAAAGTCGCTTGGCTTTTGATAATAATATGAGAATAATACAAAAACATTTCATTCGTCTGCTTTTTTAATCAGTAATTAAAATAAATACAAACAAGATACAGTCTATTCCATTGTCTTCTTAAGTCAACCAGATTTTCTTCTCAACCTGTTTCCATTTGGAAAAGTATAATACGGGAAATAGGAACCGGTTTTTCTGTTTAGCACTAAATACGGGGGCATATTGGTGTATGCATTTGACCAATTTCGTCGTTGTGGGATTTGTGGCTGCTGTGAAGAAGTTTGCGGCGAAATTATTCTGTAGGCTTCGCTATTTCTGCCTGTTATGACAGTTATTAAAATCGAGCTTAGAATTATCTGGAAAAACAAGATTATGATGCAATACTGCCTGCGATGACCATTTCAATTAAGTTATGTGTTAATTGGTTACCTTATTATATTAATACGATAGAATAAGAAATATGTGTGTTTATAACAAAAGGTGATTTTTTTTATAATAAGGCTTTCGAATGGCGATGCCTAGCCCTCGCTAACAAAATAATGCTTAAGATAACAAAAACTTACCCTAAGTAAGAACAGCCTTAAATTTTCCATATTTTAAAAATAGTCAATTTAATATTAGTCTTTTCGGCCACTGAAACTAATTGTGTTTGGAAAGACAGTGATGTCGCCTTGAACTTCACGACTCTCTTATATTGAACCATTTTTGAAAATGACATACTTCTGACGAATACAATTGGCATAGAGCTGGTTTACAAAAAAAGTTTGGCCATATGTAAATATTCATGTAAATCTATTAAACTCTCGGAGTTGAACATTTATAATAACACAGACATTAACTATTTTATCGATTATATTTGACCTTAAGCCCATAGAGATACAATTTTGTTTGTAAACAAATGCGTTGTTGTTTATGGGACAGGGTCAAATGAACGCGCGGAAATACCTACCTACCTAAAACTAAATGCTTATTGCAGCGCAAGTACACATGGCAAGAGTCGACGAAATTATGTCTACTTCATGCCTTCTGTGTGCTCAAAGTGTGTTGGGTCAATTATCGAGTAGGTATTTGAATGTTACTGTACCGGTGACACATTCCTAACGAAGCACACTATGGATCGAAATTTCAAAATATTTATTCTCTTCTTCGTTACAGTAGAATAGTTTACCAATGTACCCACATCGGTAACGAGTTCGATATCATATAAAAGAGTTTATACGAACTGAGCAGATAAAAAAGCTTGAAATCGTGCAAGACATATCAAGAGAAGTGTAAGAAAAGGGAGGCTATTTTTCGAAGAGTTTCATCATTTTGAAACCTCATAGCTTGTGTTTGGATTATATCAGATGAAACTCTGGATCGACACTGATGATCATAAAAGTTCTTAGGATATTTCCCGAAGACAAAGCTGAAATTTGGTATTGAAGTTATTAAGAGAATGAAAAGTAAAATATTATTTTATTTACCAACAAATTACGCAGCCTACACCCAAAATGACTCCAAAATACCGTGAAATCTAGTGTTGTATTATTATAATTTATGTATGAACGCAAATATGATTTTATAAAGAGCGATAGTTATTTTTGATTAGATTACCTATTATATCCAAACATACTATATACTTTGTTCACAAAGTCATAAGTACCTCTTTATAATATTTAGGTAACATGAATTAGAATTACAACGGGGCAAGACCAACCTTATTACATTCTTTAATGTGTTTTAGACTTAAAAGTTCTAAGTTATTACATATTGATTTTTTTCATCTACTTTTATAATACATATATATCAAACATATTTTCAAAAAAATTGGATCTCGAGGTGCCTCTAAGATATTTGTGTCACCTGTATCTATATCGTCTTCTATACTCAACGATTATGAATGCTTTTAAACAATACAGTTATTATATTACTAAATTTGGAATAAATAATAACAATGTTTTATACAAAAATTTCGATTCTTTAAATTCTAAAGCATCTGCAGTTTTAGCATTAGCAAAGCGGTAGCCGTCCACTTTTGCTCGAACTTTTTTATAACAGATTTGTTTATACACAATCGTTCGATATTTATAAAACTTCCATTGAAATCGAAGTTTTAATACATATATCCTACAATTATTATTGTGCTTATTCGTCCTACTTACTAAAGTGCAACAAGTATTGTTTTTCCGTTACGATTCAAGCTTCAAATTATATGATTACGGAATCTGTAAAATCTTTGTTTTATTTTTATGTATATTATATTAATATACAACGATTACCTTTTTTAGATTAATAGTAAAATATGGAAATGCCAGTTTAGCCAGGGTGGATCAGTAATTGTTACTTATTTACTCTTATAAGCAATAACACAATTTGTATTGATTTTATGCATACGAGTATTGCCCAACTAAAGCGGATTTACGAATATCGACAACACGCAATATGCTAGTTTTTTATCACGAGGCTCACCGGTATCGACCAGTCGGACACTTTGACATGCAGTTTTTCACGTGAGCAGTCAAGTAGCCAATTATATAATGTCTATATAATATAAGATTCGATAGACTAATGGAGCTTGACGCCATATTTGTTTTGCCAAGGTTCCGTATATAAGATTAATTTATTATTACATTTTGATGCTGAAGCAGCGATTGTGACCATACATCACGTCACATTTAACATAGTATGATGGTAGGTTCTGAGGCCTAGAGTGGACGGAAGTATAATGTGTCCGTATCGGTAGTGACGAATTAGTTTATCCTGACCTCTTCACTCCATGAGTCAAACTTAGCGACGTCGGCAAAGAAGAAGAAGAGGATCTCCAGACAGACAGACCTTTCGTAACACTGGGAAATAGACCTGGGGTGGGTCAAGGATGATCTTTGACAAAGATAACTCGTACTAAACAATCTGATGTAATGATAATGAAACCGTTAAAATTCGTTAGTTAAAAATAGAAAAAGGTTCTTATACTCAGGATAATTGTCATTTAATCAGCAGCAATGCAGGCTTTTGAAGTTGTAAAACTACTTGAAGCAGTATAAACTCTTTTGCTTGATTTATAATTTGATACATTTTAGTCTATAGTTATATTGGGCTGGCGATCTGAGTGAGTTGTTGCCCCACATATCTTTATGGTGCCTCTGGCGGTATTGTTGTGTACCGGGTTGTGCAGCTCCCTCAAAAATGGTTGAGCTGCATGAGCTATTCGGGGCATGCTAGCCGTCTGCTGGCGCAGGCTTGCTCAGATCGATCTGGTTCTTTCTTCCAAAGACCAGTCCAGTAAATTACTCTGCATTTGTTTACACCAACTTATTAATTTATTATTGTATTATCTGGACTATAAAAGAGACTAAGACCCCCGAGTTTGTTTCGACATTTCTTCTCAGGGCAGTCAGTTAGGAAATGTCGACTTCATCTAGTTTAGGAAGACATTGTAAAAGTGATTTATATAGTCCTACTTGCAAGAATAAACTATTTCATTTCATTTCATTTCAGTAAATTTGAGTGTGCAGTAGGAGAGTTGTAGTTTAGTTTCAGAAGAAAAAATAAGATCATAAGCACAAACATATCATTTAAAATGTGGGATATATAATAAGGAATAACAATAAGGAGTTTTACAAGAGTGCCAACATTCAATTATAATATAGTTACTTAGGCCAAAGAAAATTAAATTAAAATCTATTATAGGTCATATAAAATATTTTACATGGATATTTTTTGAATAAATTGTCTTCGTCCTGGAATCGTGGATCAACAAAACATTAAAAAGGGCTTATACAAATTTTAAGAAAACACCAAAAGATAGAATTACAG